ATTGTGGTCAATGTCATGAGACAAAGTGTATGTGAACTGCTGTATGGAAAGTGAATTTGCTCTGTAAATCTTCACCCAAATCACAATAATAATAAAAAAAAGAAGTGAGGGTGACTGGACTTGATCTTGTGTATGTTGGTCATGTTATTGGGGGACACTTCCCTGGAGAAGGCTATCGCGCTTGGTAAAGTAAGAGCGTGAAAGTGAAAGTCATGACTCTCAGTGAGATGGATGATGGGCTCAGGCCTGACACCAATTGTGAGAATGGCGCAGGACCAGGAAGTGTTTTGTTCCGTTTGTTCCGTTGTACATGGGGCCCCTGCGAGTCAGAGCCAACTTGATGGCACCTGACAATGACGACATTTAGGGAGTTTTTCAGGGCCTGGAAGAGCTGTGGTCCAGTATCAACTCTGTTCCCATTGCCTAGCACAGCCCCTGCCGTTGTGTGTGTGCTCCTGTGTTTGCGCAGCGAGTGAGCGGGACTGAGTGAGGTTTGCTCTCCTTGGTTGCAAGGAACCTGGCAGTCTTCTTAGGTGGTAGGGGAGTGGGGTTGGGCAACGTTTGCCTTCAGGCAACCACTCAACTGATTGGGTTTCTCTCTGTAGTTCTAGGCTATCGCTCAGAGCCTGCATTTGAGCATTACATGGTGAATGACCCCAAGGCTTTCTACGTACTGGTTGGCATTGCTTTTCATCACAGCTTCAATGACAGCAGGGACCCCTTGCCCCTTTCGGTAAGAACATATTGTCCATAGCAATCGCGTGGCCCCAGCCTGATCTTGTCACCTGGCTCCTCAGCCAGCAGCCATCTTGTTTGCAGAGATGAGAGGGTGTCCTGAGAGTACAGAATGGCATGTGTTTGGCTGCTTGGTGACAGAAGCAGGTGTTAGGAATAGGGACCCCACTCTAGACATCGGGGTGAATCCTAGATCTGCCACCGACTGTGTGACCTTGGGAAATTCAGTAATGCTTCAGGGCCTGAGGTCTTGGGCGAACATCAGTACCTAACACACAGGTGTTGCAAGGATTAGCTGCGTTTGTGACAGTGAGTGTTTAGCCCAGGGCCCAAGACAGGAATTTTCCACAGAGATCAGCTGCTCTTATGGTTTTACTATTAATCCCATGGAATTTCAGGCTTACTGGGTTTTTAAGGGTGAGGCGGTGTTTTAAACGTGGGCCTGCCTGGCTTCTAAGGAGCTCTGGTGGTGCAGTGGTTAAAGCACTTGGCTGCTAACTACAGGGTTACTGGTTGAACCCACCAGCCGCTCTGTGGGAGGAAGATGGGGCAGTCTGCTTCTGTAAAAGATGTACAGCCTCGGAAACCCTCTGGACAGTCCTGTAGGACCGGAGTCGGAATCTCCTTGACGGCAGTGGCGGTTTTTTGTTTGTATGTTTGTTTTTTGGGATGTTTTCATTTTGGGGATGGGAAGACTGCTGGCGCGTTGTTTCCGTTTTGTGCTGGCCAGGCCAGGTGATGACTGACTGTTAGAACTCGCCTGGGATGTTGGTAGCTGGAGAGACGTAGTCATAAAACTACCACCAACAGGCGCATCGCGTGGACCCTCTCCAGCGACGGCCCCGAGGGAGGTGCTGTCAGTCCCGTCCCGTTCCACCCGGGAGCAGCCGGGGCGGCGCGGGTTCAGCGCCTGCTGAAGCGCCAGGGCTCTCCGGTGGAGGGCGGGCATTTGGATCTAGGCGGTCTGGCTCCGGCGCCCGCGTTCTGGGCCGCTCTGCCGCACTCCCTCTGGAAGGTGACGAAGCCCACCGTCTCGGTCCCTCCACGGTCGCTGCACTGTGTTCCAGGGCCGGGGGCCCAGCTGGCGCGGCCCTTTCCCGAGCCCAGCACCCGACAGCCGCTTCCTTTCCCGGCCAGGTCGGGTACTGCTTGCGCTTCAGCGCCATCATGCGGAACTTCCTGTACTTGCGGATGCTAGTGCCCCAGGATCACGTGGAAGGCTGGAGCACCGCCTTCCTGTACCCGCCCAACCCCGGAGCGGAGCCGCGGGAGAGCGAGTTCGAAGACGGCGGGAGGCCCGGTGAGGAGACGGCGGCGGAGCCGTGTGGCGCGTGTTGGTACTGCTGCCTCTGCTGTGGGAACAGGGCGGGCACCGGATAGCTGGGTGCCGCGTCCCCGCAGGGACGGTTGGTGTGCAGAGGCTTGGCTTCTGTGAGGAGGGCTCGTGGGCTTGGGAGAGAAACATGCCAGCCCAGCTCGGAGCACGGGGAGCCGACGTGTTCGCTGCCGGCGGGCGGGGCGCACAGGAGGCCCGCGCTTCCCTGGCCGATGGCTAACCCCACAGCGGCCCTGACGCTCGCCAAGCGGTGTTTCAGAGGAGGGTGAAGGCGTTCTGACGAGGCGAGCGCGGCGGGGCTTCCTGGTGCCGCTGCCTCGCTGGAAGGCAGGGCCCGGCGTCGTCAGGGTGACGGAGCCCCTGCGCGTGGCTCCGTGGCGGCCCGCTCTCTGTTTCTGAAGGTGTCAGGGCTGTGGCAGCCGCCGGCCCTGCCGCGCTCGCCCTCCCCCCACCTGATGATCGCTGGCCGCCTCTTCTCAGACCTCCGTCCTCATCGGCTCCGGGGCGGCTCTCGCAGAAACACCAGCGCTGCCGGACGCGAGCCAGCTCCCCGGGTGGGGGGCTTGTGGTTGCTGCTGCTGTTGTTGTGTGCTGTTGAGCCGAGCCCGACCCGCGGCGCCCCTGCCAGACGGGGTCCCAGGCTGTCATCTCTGCGGAAGCAGCGGCCACGTCTTTCTCCTGAGGAGTGCTGGCCGCTTCAAACTGCCGACCCCTCGGTTGGCCGCTGAGCACTTGACCGCTGCACCACCAGGGCTCCTTCCTAGGGCCCACAGGTCCGAGTGTGGGGCGCCGGCCCCAGGGGAGGCTGTCTCTGTCGGCTCTGGGGGAGCTCCTTGTCTCTCCTCACCTCAGCTCGTGTCCTCCAGCTCGTTGGGGAGCTCACGGGTGTCTGTCTGCCCCCACGCCCGCTCCATCTGCTCTCAGGTCTCCAAGGAGACCGTGTTTCCGCTGCCCCATAACATACGGAGAATCCTGTCCGCAAGGGGATTATAGCCACAGGTGCAGGGGCGCGGGTGGGGGATTTCCAACAGATCATACAACACCCCAGATTTGGGTCTGGTGACCTGCAGCCTCAGCGGTTTGTTGCACTAACTTTATTAATGTATGACCCATTTACGGAAAGCGTACCAGTCGGTCCTAAGGGTACAGCTCCACGAGTGTTTGCTATCTGAGCACATCTGGGGAACCAGCACGCAGTCCCAGAAACAGCATGACAGCGGCCCACAGGCCCCTTCTGTCCCCCCAGGCACTGCCCTCTTAAGGATAACCACTGTCCCGACTGCCAGTCAAGAGTGAGTTTGAAAATGCTTCGCAGACCCCAAGCCCTGTGCTGCCGCCTGCCCATGCTGGCTGCGGGGGCTCCCACCTGCCGGCCAAGTCTCTCTAGAAATGTATCCGGCTGTTCAGTTTCCCCCATGTGTAGCGATGGGGTACTATGTTGTGGTACCACATCATCTTGGAAGCCCACGTCCCGTCTCTTTGTGAGGAGTCGATTAGTCCTCGTTTTGGAAACTCGCCTTGCTTTTGGGTTTCTTATTTCCCACAACGCTACAACCGTTTCCCGACTTGCTGTGATGGCTTTGCCCACCATAGTTGGAGCTGATTGGCCCCTTTGTTTCACGCATCATGTCCAATGAGGTCCACTCTGACCCTTCCTCACTGTCCCCTGGCAGGGCCTGAGGGGGAGATGAGGTGTACGTCGGGGTGCCTGTCCCCAGCATTTCTGTTCCCTTGGTTGCAGAGCCAGGACTGACTGGGCCGGTGTTCCACTCAGTAGCTGCCCCTGCTCCTGCCCTGCCAGCCCTGGGGGTGTCTTTGCCTTGTTTCCAGCTCCTCAGCCTACGAAGGAGACCAACGCCCAGGGTCTCCTCACTGTAAGGATATGCTGCCGGTTGTTAGGAGTGTGGCGGGAGAGTTTATCTTGATAGGGTTGCCGAGGAAGGCTCTGCCACAGGTCCCCGAGGGAGTGCATTGCTCAGCGGCCTTCCCTCCGTGCCACCACAGAGGGGCCCCTGCCTGCCACCCTCTCCCCACAGCTGCCCTTGCACCCCGCTGCGCCCCCTGCCATGTGGTACTGAGACACCACACTTCTTTGGTAAGGACTGTCCTTGAGGTTCGGCAGCAAAGTCCAGTGACCACAGCCACAGTGACAGCTCAGACATGGAGGGCAGCAGGCCGGCCAGGCAGCCTTTTCCAGGTGCTCTGCCGTTCGCCACTTCAGAGGGGCGGGGTGGTCGAGACGGCACAAACACCCACCCCTGGAGCCCGGTGCCAAGGGGAAAGGTGGCTGCAGCTGGCAGACCCCGGCACTGGCCGTCCCTCATTTAGTCAGCCCCTTTTCTGATAAGAGGCTCCAGAAGCCTCAGCCTGGGGCATCCCCCTGTGGCTCTCTCCTCTGTCTCCCGTGCGGCGGCGGGCTCCAGGCCAGCTTCCCTCTCTGTCTGTAAGGGTCTGAGAGGGTTGGGAAAGCCAGCAGCAATCTGGCCGACCAGTTGGTTTGCACCTTCAAACGCCACACTAAGCCCATCGCCCTGAGGTGACCCCTGCTCATAGTGACCCTGTGGTTGGCACCTGTGGTCTTTCCTAGTCCCTGAGGTTGACACCCACTGTTGCCTCACGCAGGATACCAGAAAGAAGGTTTCCTAGCCATACAGCACGCGATGGACAAAGCCATCATGTGGTACCACGTTCCAGACGCGACGGCCCGAATGTTTGCGAACCTCAGTGTGCTCGTGAAGAGGTTCCCGCACGGGCCCTACATCCGGGACCGCTTCTTCCTGGTCATGCAGAACGAGTTCCCGCCGCTCCTCATGCTTAGCTTCATCTGCATTGAGCTGACCGTCATCAACTCCATCGCCCTGGAGAAGGAGAGAAAACTGAAGGTAAGCCCGGCTCCCCGGGAGGCTTGCAGGCTGCAGAAGAGAGCTGCTGGAGTGGGAAGGAGACCCAGGCAAGGTGGGAGGCTGCTTAGGGGTTCCAGCGACGGGCCAGGTGAGTGGGAACCTGGAAATTCTTTGGTCGTTTTAACCTGCTTGGAACTTACGAGGTGCCACCCGTAGTTACTAGGTGAACACTTGCTTTAGGGAGCTCCCAGCCGGCCTGGTGCCTGCTACTTGGCTCGAGCGCTCAGCACACAGTGGGTGTTCAGAGATGTTCAGGGAACGACTGATACGCACACACACCGACTCCTCACCCCCGGACCCTCTCGTTCTCCAACTCCCGCGTTAGATTGTAGTGACAAATCTGTCACCCAATTATTCTGCCTGTTAACAATGTACATCTGGCAACAGCGGACCCCAGGGTGTCAGGTGAGAGCAACACTGGCTGTGGTGGTTAAGGCACGTCAGCTTGGCTGGCTCATGGGTCTCAGTGGTCTGGCAATTATATAATGATGAAACTTGGTAGTTATGGATGATGTAATCTGGCAGTTCTGTGATGACATAGCTAAGTACATGCATCTCCAGTCCTGGCTGTGAATCGTGGCGTGGCGTGGCGTGGCGTGGCGTGGCGTGGCATGCAAGTGTGGTGATCGTACTTGCATCTCCAGTCGTGGTTGTGAACCATGACATGGCAGGTGTGGCATGGTGTGGCTTGAGCAGTGTTGGATTGTATGCACGTCTCTAGCACTGGTTGTGAACCATGGTGTAGTGTGTCATGGACTGCACAGCATTGGATTGTGTGTGCGTCTCCAGAATGGTGGTAAACCATGCATGGTGTGGTGTGGCATGGAGTGCACAGCACTGGATTGTGTGTGCGTCTCCAGCAGGGTGGTGAACCATGCATGGTGTGGCGTGCTGTGCCCTGCATGGTGTTGGATTGTGTGCATCTCCAGCACTGTGGCAAACTGTGGCGTGGCGTGGCATGGCCTGCATAGCATTGGATCACGTGTGTGTCTCCAGCACAGTGGTGACCCATGGTGTGGTGTGGTATGACGTGGCCTGCACAGTGTTGGATCGTGTGTGTGTCCCCAGCAGGGTGGTGAACCATGGTGTGCTGTGGTGTGGTGTGGCTGCACAGCGTTGGATTGTGTGTGCATCCCCAGCAGGGTGGTGACCCGTGGTGTGGTGTGGTGTGGCATGGCCTGCACAGCGTTGGATCGTGTGTGTGTCCCCAGCCTGGAAAGCCTAACTCTGTCATTTATGTTTTGCATTTTCCCTCCATGTGCATAGTACAGAGTTTGCATTTCCTGGCTTCTCAGTGCTGACAGGTGATGTGTTTCTCAGGCCTGGCTATTAGAGACAGGAATAAATGACTCAGCCCTGCCCTCAGGTGAGTCACAGCAATAAGACCAAGTGTGACAGAAGGACCGGAAGTGCTAAGACAGTGGAACGGACAGGCTGTTGTGGCTGGGTGGAGGATGGCCCAGCTAACCAGACACGGTGTCACATAGCCAGTACCTCTTGAACTACATTTTGAAAGTCAAGTAGGGTTTCACTAGGTAGAGAGGAGGAAGGAGAGAGTGGGAGCAAAGTGTGTGGAAAATAAAGAAAAAGACCACGGCGTGTCCAGGAAATTGCACCAAGGGTTGGGTAGCCAAGGTGTGGGGTATGAAGAGTTTAGATTCTATCTCGAGGGCCACAGGGCCCTTAGCTTAAAGCAGGCCTTCAGTAAACAAATGAACGGAAAGTATGTGAACCACATCAAGGGACGACTGTCTCTAGCACACCGGAGCCAGGTAAATGCCTCTCCCTGGTTTCCACTCCTCTTTCTAGTTGGTCTCCAGCATACCCCACTGGACACTCCCCCCAGTACACACATCAGACGCTCAGCCTGCGGCATCTGCTGGGCCGCGGCAGACAGTTAAAGCAGTGGCCTGGGGCTGGAGCAGTGGCAGTGCCACGTGTCACTCGCCAATTTCCTTCTTCCAGTAGGATGAGCAGCGACAGGGTTACCCGCCACTGTCCTGGTTCCTGTAGTGTGAACACTGATGGGATCACCTGTCCTCTCCTGCCTCCTGTAGGATGAACATCGATCGGGGTTAAGTGTTGCTCTCTTGTGTCCTGTAGGGTTACCACGGGTGGAGTCACCTGCCTTTCTTCTGCTTCCAGCCGGAGGAGCATTGAACGGGGTCCCGTGTCCCTCTCCTGCTTCCTGTAGGTCAGACACTGGCTCACACCCTACATCGCTGTCTTGCTTCCTCCAGGAGGATACGTGCATGATGGGCCTGTAGGTGGGACACTGGCTTGCACCCCACGTCACTCTCTTGCTTCCTCCAGGAGTATACGTGCGTGATGGGCCTGTAAGTTGGACATCGGCTCACACCCTACGTCACTGGCTTGCTTCCTCCAGGAGTATATGTGCATGATGGGCCTGTAGGTTGGACATCGGCTCACAC